CTCCCTGGACCAAGATTTTGTCACACCACAGGGCCCACCCACTGGTTCAGGCGATTCCACCCCAAACCATTATGCTTGGAACTCCCAATTAGTCTAGTTCCATGACACATTGGTCGGAATAACGCTGGCCACGTCGACGCTATATTCTGGTCCAGCCATCTGCAGTTGATACGCAATACCGACTCTCTCTGTGAACAGAACAGTTTTCCGTTGCCTGTGTTGCCAGGTCTGGTGCTGTTGGGCAAACTGTAGACGTTCACCACGTCGATGGCGATGGGTGAGTATCGGTCCACGGTAAGGTCTACGGCAATGGATGTTCCCTCTGGTGACACGTCGGCGCACTGTATCGGTAATGGGGCTATATACCCAGGCGTTGGTTGAAAGGTAGATTTGTCTACGATCTCACCTGAGGTGGAAGACTGAGGTAAAACTCTAGGAACGAACGACAGGTAGATAGATGAGCGGGTAGGAGAAGCGAGGCTTGGACGAGTGCATGGAATCACCCGAGTTCAGCCGCTGCATTGGCAGAAGTGGCGGAATGGTGGATTTAATATTGTTAAATGTGTTCCTGTTGTAGTCTAGTCCACGATGTAGTTTAGTTCATGTTGTATCTATGTAACTGTTTGATATTTTGATCCGATGTAAATAAATCATATATTTACTAAACTGGTCTACTGTTATCACTAAGATAGTGTTACAGAAATGCATGTAAATAACCAAAAGATCGTGGTTCCTTCCAAAATTCGCGCATATGGAGGCAGACCACAATTAAATTTCACCATCTCGGTACCCACAAATTGTAGTTAGTCTATTTATAGCAATTCTCTCTGTGCCTCTTTTCTGCCCGTTTGCGTGCCCATTTTTGTTGATTTTGTTGGTGTAAAAGGGACACAGAGGGTTTGAATTAACATTTTCTGCCAGGTTTGGGTAAAAATTCATGATTTTGAGGCGGAAGGATTTTGACCGCCAGGACAGAATTTCAGGTTTATATCGAATGCCCCGTTCTGAAGGCTATCTAACCACTGCCCTGGTTCTCGACCCAGTTACTGATCTTGATGATATCTTCCTCCTTAATTGACCAATCGCAGCTGTCAATCAAAATAATAAATCAACCAATCAGAAAACGCCTTCCCTTCTGCGCGAGCCGGCTATATTTCATGATACACGAATAAAAGCAGGTAAATTTGTTAACTTCTACACAAAAGTACCTGGGACATCCTTCAGTAATTTGCGCCGTATCAAAACTTGGCTGCGTAATTCCATTCCAGGCGCAAAAAACGACTGAACCATCTGATGGTGTGTGCGGTGCATAATGACCATCTTCATGATCAAAACACAAAGCATGTCGCCAAGTTATTCATAGTGAACAGCCCTGATCGTAGAATGAACATCTTTGGACGATTCACTTAACTTCATGAACAATTAATATTTGTGCAGCTTTGATGTAGGTAGTCATCGAAATAACACTGGCACAGCAAACTGTTCGTAATTATTATTTTTGCTTGGTAATGGGCCATACTATATACCGGAAAACACAGGAAAACAACCGGAAAACACCATTTTATACTGAATACCGGAAAACATCCTAAATACCGGAAAACACCCTAAATAGGTAACCCGGAGCCTGGTCCTCTGTGTGCGGTTTTGGACCAAGTGAGCGCCGATGAAGGAAGGTCAAGGTCATTACGATGTTCGTTTTACAAATACCGCCCCCCCCCCCCCAAAAAAAAAAAAAAAATTTCCGATTTTTTTTTCTCCAAAATTTTGTTGATGCCTATTATGTTTTGAATGTTTTAAAAGACGCAATCAGTCTACCTCCATCATTGACCATATTTTATTTTGTATTTTAATTTTAGTTTTCAGTAAATTTTAGTAGATTTCAGTGTTTCAGTATTTCAGTAGATTAAACACAGCCCTCTGAGGGCCCCGTTATATGCCGGTTGCGCCGGTCTCCTGATTCTTACCAGTAACGCTGGCATCAGGGTGGTACGAATTAGTGGAAGGCACGATCAGGCCAAGTCCTCCCTAGGTAACAAAAAATCGCATCATAAAACAGCAAGTATCATCAAAAGCGAGTTAATAAATCTCTGAATAGTTCGAGTTGAAGTTCCAGGTTTAACCGCTATGTGTCCTAATCACCAAACGAAATGGATGCCACGCAATTATCGGACAGGCTGTAATCTGAAAAGTTTCTATCCTTTCCAAGAGCTATCCATCTCGTTGGAAGGGCTAAAAATCTACTTGTTTCTGAGCTTACTTTCATTCCAGGGTCAAATATAATCACTTGAACCATAATAATATTCAACATATTCCACCATAATCCGAGGGCCGCACACAGGATTTTTTTTTCTGGATTACTTTTCGAGCTTTATTCCCCAACTCGTTGACCAGTTTTCCTTGAGAAAACCCCAACTTTCGCCCAATTGTCCATGAGGAAACTACATATTCTATCTTACTGCATTGACGGGAAGTGGTAAGCTGGACGTCTGTGAAAAGGGTTGATCCATAAATTTTCAAGGAAGCAATTGTTGTTTTTGTTTGTGAAATAGAGGACTCTAGCCGATGAGGCTACTTTCCCCCCGAGAACCTCAGGCAACCAATTTGTTTTATGTACTACTATCGTAATAAAACATTACTATATTAACCACTTCCTGGTGGCTGAAGACTTACACCGAATGCGTAATCGGAAAAAAATGTCCCCGAGAAAATGTTTTTTCCGACAATCGATATTCGAGATGTCTTCTGTTGCACAAATTATGCTACACTGTGTAAGAACTTTCATCCTTTGATCTGAAGATTGTAGATGGAAAAGTATCATTTGCACTATTTCAAAGTAAACCTGCATTATCGTATATCATCCCGTAATTTGTGATTAATGACAATGACTGTGGAAATAATATGGGTTGAGGAATGGAAGATCTATGTTCGTCACGTGACTGGACAATTCCACCCCCGTCCCACCCTGACGATGATCCCTCCCGGAGCGGCGCGGCGCGGCGCGCTCTCAAAAAAAAATCTCGGGCACAGTTTACTCTTCTAAGTTTTCCGGTAGGTATTTAGTAATGCGGAGTTTGGTCCTCATGTGTGGTTTAGGACCAGTTGAGCGCTGATGAAATAAATTCATTAACATACAAGCGAGCGATCGCCTACGGTCAAAGAAAAATTTCTTTTCAGATTTTTTTTAAGAATTTCTTCTCCCAAATTTCTCTCAAAAAATTCAAATTTTGTTTCCAGTATTTTTCTCTGTAAAATTATTTCCTACGGAATGTTTTTTTTTGTAAAACCAATTTTTCGGAAAAATTCTATTTTTTTTGGGGGGGTGGGGGGGCGGAAAATTTTTTTCCCAAAAAATTTGGGAGAAAAAAAAATCGGATTTTTTTTTTTTTTGGGGGGGGGGCTATTTGTAAAACGAACATGACCTTGACCTTCCTTCATCGGCGCTCACTTGGTCCAAAACCTCACACAGAGGACCAGGCTCCGGGTTACCTATTTAGGGTGTTTTCCGGTATTTAGGATGTTTTCCGGTATTTAGTGTTTTTCCGGTGTTTTCCGGTATTCAGTATAAAATGGTGTTTTCCGGTTGTTTCCGGTATATAGTATTGCCGGTAATGTAATGTTCAAGTTTCCAGGGTTCGTCCCCCCCCCCCCCCCCAACACTTTTTTTTATGAAAAATCCACGCCCTTGCCCATTGCTTAGTTTCCCGAGGAACCAAACTATTTATCAATACAATGTTTATGAATTTGGTACTGCTGTTGAACGATAGGTTGCACGTCAAACATCCAATCCAATATTTTGCATTGATAGATACAACCTGTATAGTTTGCGAGACAGACATCCATTTTTTTACATTGAGAGGTCATCGGGCTAATTAACGAATAGATCATTCACATCCTCACTCTTGCTCGTGGAAGAAAACCGGGGTACCCGAGTAAACAGACAAGGTTGAAAAGGCGCCCCTATCTACAAGCCACGTACGCTGACACCAGGGATCAAAACCACGACCGCAAACCATAGGTGACAGGCCAGATAAAGCAAGAAGCGAGATACTCTGGACCACTAGGCCATACAGCTGTATGGTTTGCAAGTCAAACATACATTCCATTCATTTTTTATATTGAGTGGTCAGCGGGCAAATTAACGAACACCCTCGCGCTCGTGATGAGCTAGGAAATAAAACATGCACGATGCCATATTTGAAAATGACCTTCCAAGTATAATGACACCCCTTTAATAATCTCTATTATTGGTGAATGAAATGATAGGAAATAAAACATGCACGATGCCATATTTGAAAATGACCTTCCAAGTATAATGACACCCCTTTAATAATCTCTATTATTGGTGAATGAAATGATACTTTTCTACTCTGTATTCGTCTATAAATAATTCTAAACTACTAAACTGGCCTATAAATAATTCTAAACTCTTAATTGGGAAGAAACGTTTCCAGCTTGGATTGGTAACTTCTAATTTGTAATGGTCGCTGCATCATGTTGAGGTAATGGATGAAGCGTTCCTCGGATCTATTTTTCCATGATCAATCCAAGGGGCTAGTTAATATGGTTTCAATATTCCGGTTCATGACCTAAAAACTAATGAGACATAACTTTGGTCAAAATAGGAAATAATCTTTATCCAGATATACTTCAAACAACTTTATTTATTTTTCTATTACTACAAAAAAATATATTTGCAGAAGGAAAAAAGTTAATTAACCCGTACCGATGTTTTCCCTCTCAGTACCTGTAGCGATATAGCGAATATTCACTGCTGATCAAAATAAATGATTGTATGCTGCCTTTTGTCTGCTGGGTTAATGTATGCTGGCTTGATACAGTCTTATTGGCTGCCGGGTGTCTGGTCTGTTAGTTTGTGTTCGGTGAAAACCGGTTAGGTCTATTTGACAAGACCAAACGCATAATTTCCTCGAGGACACGAGATGTAAACAGGGTTAACGTTATCCCTAACCCAATACCTAGATCTACGCCTTACACTAACCCTAACTCACAATCCTCGGCAATAATCACGTGCCCTAGCCCTGTTTACATCTCGTGACCTTATCATGGGAAAATATGCGTTTGGCCTTATCAAATAGATCTAACCGTGGGGAAAACCCTGTATTTTCTATTTTCACTTTCGTTTTCTTGTATGGCGATTTTAAGGTTTAGCTTTTAGCACCAGCTGTTTTCACGTTCGTTCCTTGCATTGAAGATTAATGGTAGCTAGTGGTTAATGTTTTAGAACAGGTAAGCGGTAGACGTTCTTGGAGTCGCGGAGGCTCAGTGAGTAAGACGCTGAGTCGCTAAGGGAGGTTGGATGGCCGAATGGTTAGCACGTCCGTGCTGTATCATAAGGCCTGTCATTGAGTCAACTTGTGTGGTTTCGAATCCCCGGTTGGACGTGACAAGGAGTAGGGTCGCCTGTCCAACATTCGTGGGATTTCTCCGGGTCCTCCGGCTTCCTCCCGCAGTTAAAGACCCCTACTCGCAAGCGAATTATTGAAATAAAATTGAACCATGTGTTAGTCCCGAAATGACCTAGTTTGTGTTGAGTGGACGTAAACCCCATTTCTCTCTCTATCTCTCTCTCTCTCTGACTCGCTAACCTGACATTCTCATATTTGCTCCCGGTTTTAGCCGAGACAGTTCCACGTGATTATCCAAATCAGTGGTGCAGGAAAGAGGGTGTGGTACACATTGCTGTACACGTAAAAGAACCATTGACAGTTGGGATTCAGTTATAGGAAAGAGAAAGAGAAATGGGGTTTAACGTCCCCTCGACACAAATTAGGTCATTTCGGGACTAACAAACGGTTCAATGTTATTTCAATAATTTGCTTGTGAGTAGGGTTCTTTAGCACTGGGAGGAAACTGGAGAACCCGGAGAAAACCCCCAAGGTCGGATTCATTTATAGGAGAAGGCAAAATTTACCTCATAGCACACTGCATGGCGTATGCCTGTCTTCTTTAGCCCAGTAGGAGCAGAACAGTAGGAGTGAAAGCCTATTTTATTATAGACTTTTGGCAAGCGTAAATTCCTGGTCCGTATCGCGTATCCGTATCGACTTTCGTAACACTTTGGTCCTTACGACAGCATTGGGTCTTTGAAAAATTGTTGCTTCACTCTTTCTATAGAGGCAAATCCCACGCACTAATAAAAACGGATCACATGTTTATATGTAAATAAAACCATTGATATGTGAGTAAAATCCTAACCATTGTCAAAATATCCATCAAATTCGATCTGTTTATTGACCTATGGTTGGTAGACCAAATAACATAATGTCTTCTCCCTTAGTCTTGCGAAATAAAGAGGTTTATTCCATATTTGGGCAATCTAAGACATGCAGATGGAAATTAACGTCAAGGTCAATCTAAGAAGTGCAGAAATTAGGGGGTTTTAAAGGAGGATGTTGAGCGAGAGCGGTCAGAGCTCACCCAGGTATTCCGAGCAGCTATTATTATTTATTGAGCACGGGGAACCTTCGAAGCCAATCCAGCTTAACAATAAAGTTGTAGGAACCATTTAACCTGTAGTGTTATATATGACGATCATGAAGAAAACAAACACAAGGAAGTCCGATAGTACTACACTTTGCGTGTGACGTCATCAATGTGTGTGTATTTCTCATACGTGATACGGCAGCACGTATCGAACAGCTTTCATACGGAAAAGGTCCGCATTACATCGTCGTCTTTTAACTGTCTTTTTTGCTACTTCTACACGCTGAAATCTTGTGCCATAGTATTTTTATGAATCTATGTGTATTGTAGAACACGGAGGTCTATATTTGATGTGCTTTTAACCATGATAAAGACTGGACTTTAATTATTAGTTGGTTTTTTTTCGGAATTTTAATGTTTTCCTGTCTGTCTGTCTACATGCTTGATGATCTACGCGCTAAATTTAGGAAGGTGGGACCTTGCAAATCTGTAAATGAGATGATTCTATGGTAAAGGGGTATAGTCTTTCTGAAATGAAACATATAGTGAAACCAAACATTGTTGTCGAGTCGAAGTCGAAGATTTTTAATAAGATTCGACATTAATTTGTTTTTAATAACTCAGCGACTGTCGAGCGACTTGACTCCCTCCAATATTTTGTAGGCGAGGCACTTGACTAGTACTGATGGTGGTCTTGGTAGATAACTGCCATCATGCTGTAATAGAACTAAGCTCAGCTCAGCTGAGCTACACATACGTACGTGGTGCGAAAATCTGCCAGAACTCTAAAAGTATACATTGACGCAACGTATCACGCGACGATACGGATACATGATACTGATGGGGAAAATTCCCTATGCCAAAAGTTTCTATTTTTCTAATTACAGAACGCAAGCCGTACAAGTTTATAATGGAAGACTTCGACCGTGGGATCACCTGCAGCATCTGTTTGTCCAATTTCAGAAAACCCAAAATCATCGACTGTCACCATACCTATTGTGAGACATGCCTGGATGATTATATAAACAAATTTGCCGTGGACGATAATTTTGATTGTGCACTGTGTAGGCGAACCATCGCAGTACCTCGAAACGGTGCCAAGGATTTTCCGGTTAATTTTTATGTTGAAGACCAGGAAATAGCAAATAAAAAGGAAGAATTTTGTGTTGAACATGGCAACCAAATACTGGATGGTTACTGCTCGGATTGTCAACTTGTTGTTTGTCGTAAGTGTAAGGAGACAGATCACCAAACCCACGATTGTCAGAGTCTACAAGGTATCCGACAAACTTTCGTTCTCGAATTAAAAACACTGAAACAGGAACTGGCAGATAAGATTCCTCAATTTCAGTCCTACTCAGATTTTTTCAGAACAAGAATATCGCAGAAAAAGAAATCTACTGAACGACTCTGCACCGAAGTTGACAAACAAGTGAATAGAATTTGCCAAACAACCCACAAACAAGGTGACGAAATGAAAGACATTCTGAAGAAAACCCTAGCTGAAGAACTGATGACCCTGGATGCCATGCTTGTTGAAGCTAAAAGAAATTTGTTTTCTATTAAATCATTACACACTATGACATCACAGATTTTGAAAGAAGCCTCAACAGTGGAAATGATCAACAGCATGGATATCATTCGAATGGAAAAGGAAGACGTATGTCCGAGAGATGTGAAGACGTCAGAGGTACCCATTTTACCAGTTCCCGAGTTCCATCCTGGCGACTTTAGCACTGAAAGTTTATCCCGATTGATTGGTCTTTTAAATGTTGCATTTCAAAACAATTTTAATATTCACGAGATCGGGGAAATATGGACAAACAACCCGGGCTATAACTTGGGCAAATTATCTTGGTCCGTGGGTGTCGTTGCTAGATCGGAAAGATTGAGCATAAGCTTGGATATGGTCAATAAAGAAATAAAATCCTGCAATTGTCAATTCACATTGAAACTCATCAACAGAGACGATGATGAACGTTCTCTCATTGAGCGCGGAGATAAAACATTTACATCTCATTACGATATGAGTTATTATGAATGGGAGTCTGTTATTGACATGGATGAGATTTCTGACCCCGACATAGGTTTTATAGATGATGAGGGTAACTTTATTATTCATGCTGATCTTCATATTTCTCATATTGTATTGTTAAAAGATTTATAAAGCCCGGTTGGAGCTGACTTGCCGTAACGCTCTATTTTATTCTTCCATTATATTGACAAATTTAGAAGAGCCGGCTTTACGTTCACACGAGACCAACTACCGTATTTAGGTATTAACATGGTGCCTTTTTATTTAGGTACCAACATACCCTCTTTTTTATCGTCGACTTATTTTATTTCGAGACTAACATATGGTTTAATAGTATTTCAACAATCCGCTTGTGCGTAGGGGTCTTTAGATGGGGGTCCGGAGAAAATCCACGAGGTTGGACAGGCGATCCTTCTTGTTACGTACATGTGTGGGATTGAAACCAGGCCACATGACTCCATGACAGATCTGAAATGAAATGAAATGGGGTTTAACGTCCTACCGACTCCATGACAGACCTTATGATCTAAAGTGCACACATTAGGCAATTGTTAACAAGTTGATTAAATGTTTTTACGCTAAAATTATCTTTATTATTATGGTCCTGTCATTGATGTTTATTTTCAAGTTGCAGACAGACCACCATTAAATTTCACCATCTCGGTATCCACAAATTGTAGTTCGTCTATTTATAGCATTTCTCTTTCTGTCTCCTTTCTGCCCTTTTACGTGCCCATTTTTGTTGATTTGTTGGTCTAGAATGGACGACAAGGGTTTCAATTAACATTTTATGCCTGGTTGTGGTAAATATTTATGATTTTTTGGCAGAAGGATAACGGGGTTATCAGGTTGGCTACAGTGATATGCACGCAACTAGTTACATGTTTTAGTATAACCATTTGTTCCTCTGTCTGTAGTGAAAGGCATTCAGCCCAACCAAAATTTGGGGAAAAGTTGGATGTGGGCAAAGAGGCCAGAATTAACATTGAAGTCAATGGGGAAATTAATGGTGGTCTGCCTCCAGTTAAGTGCTTTTTCTAACTAGAGTTGCTTCCCTTAGTATAGCTCTACTGGAAAAGCACGTATAACCGATTCCAAGTAATCCAAATACTACATCTAATATATACTACAAAAATTGTTAAAAGCAGTAACAGGGCACATTTTCTTCCTTTGACGTTCTTATCCCCGGAACAACTTACGATTTCTTTAGGAATATTTGTATAGTACTGGGAAAACCCCTACGTACTAATATTACAAATTTATATACCCCCCATCCCACACCCTGTAAATATACAAGATTAAATATGTATATTTTGCACTTTTTAATTTAAGGGAATTTTATACCCTCTAATATTTTATTACAATTATTGTACTTTATTTTTTCTTTATGTGTTCATATAGTTTAGTATAATTATCAAACAAGACGAATAAATAATTTCATGCGCGATACACACCTGGAATCACAGAAATATTTTCGATGGCTTACCAACTAGGAGGTCCCTCTATAGTTCATCGTAAGTCGCAAGCATTGATAACCTGTTAATATTGATAAACTCTTACTATTGATAACCTGTTTATATTGTTAACTTGTTTATATTGATAACCTGTTTATATTGATAACCTGATAATATTGATAACCTGTTTATATTGATAACCTGTTTGTATTGATAACCTGTTTATATTGATAACCTGTTTATATTGATAACCTTATTTTTATTGATAAAATATTTATATTGATAACCTGTTTATATTGATAACCTGCTTGTATTAATAACCTGCTTGTATTAATAACCTGTTTATATTGATAACTTGTTTTTATTGATAACCTGTTTATATTGATAACCTGTTTATATTACACCTTCGACACCCCGTACCAAGCTCCATGTAAGGAACCGGATATTACTTATTCTATAGTCAATATGCCCCTGAAACTGCTTGCCATTTTAAACCTGTTTTACTGTTACAAGTCGAAATATTCTTCTGGGGGAGGGAGCGAAGCAAATTTGGGGCGTAATTTGCTTTAAATATTGCTTAAATTATATTGCCCATGTAAAAATCATAATTTGTGTCTTCGGTGCTGCCCTCAAAGCATTCCTAAAAAAAACAATGTTTGTCATTTTCTAGACTATAAAAAGTAGACAACTTGGCTCCGTTGCTAAAAAATAAATCCAACTCATTCACATCCTCGCTCTTGCCTGTGGGAAGAAACCGGGGTACCCGAGTAAACACACAAGGTTGAAAAGTCGCCCCTATCTACAAGCCACGTAGGCTGACACCAGGGATCAAAACAACGACTGCAAGCCAGAGGTGACAGGCCAGATAAAGCAAGAAGCGAGATACTCTGGACCACTAGGCCATACAGCTGTATGGTTTGCAAGTCAAACATGCATTCCATTTTTTGCATTGGGAGACAGAGAGAGAGAGAGAGAGAAATGGGGTTTAACGTCCACTCGACACAAATTAGGTCATTTCGGGACTAACATATTGTTTAATTTTATTTCAATAATTCGCTTGTGCGTAGGGGTCTTTAGCAGTGGGGGGAAACCGGAGGACCCGGAGAAAACCCACGAGGTTGGACAGGCGACCCTACTCCTTGTCACGTACAACCGGAGATTCGAAACCACGCCAGACGACTCAATGACAGACTTTATGATACAGCGCGCGCACGCTAACCATTCAGCCATCCAACCCCCTTTTTACATTGAGAGGTCAGCGAGTCAATTAACGAACAGATCATTCACATCCTCGCTCTCTTGATGAGCTAGGAAATAAAACATGCACGATGCAATATTTTGAAAATGACCTTCCAGGTATTATGACTTTTGTTTAATAATGTCTAGTCTTGATGAATGAAATGATACGTTTATACCCTGTATTCGTCTATAAATAATTCTAAACTCCTAAACTGGCCTACAATTAATTCTAAACTGGGGTTCAACGGCCACGCGACACAAACCAGGTCATTACGTGACTAACATATGATTCAATTTTATTTCAATAATTCGCTTGCGCGTAGTGGTCTTTAGCTTTGGGAGGAAACCGGAGGACCCAAAGAAAACCCACTCCTTGTCACGTACAACCGGGGAATTGAAACCACGCCAGTTGACTCCATGACAGACTTTATGATACAACGCGCACGCGCTAACCATTCGGCCATCCAAACAACCCCCAATGTGTTGATCCTCTGGTGCTTAACAATTTAAAATATCGTGCAATAGCATTAATAATTCAAACTTATTCAAATTCAAATCATCCCACCGAGAATTTAATTTACCCAGTTGCATAATAATAGAAACTCGCACTTAATCTCAAATTTCAGACCAAGAAATGAAATGAAATGAAATGGGGTTTAATGTCCTACTGTTCTGCTCCTAAACTGGGCTAATGAAGACAGGCATACGCCATACAGTGTCCTATGAGGAAAATTTTGCCCGGGCAGCGGCACTATCGCCTACTCTTATATCGAATTCCAACTGCCATGGGTTTTTTTTACGTGCATTCCAATGTATACACTGGACCTCGGTTTTTCTTCTCATCCGAAGGACCAGACAGCTGTCCTTGTCAGGCCCTCCGTTCTGCACCACTGACAAGGGGAAATTCCAGATGAACTTTCTCGGTCAATGCAGGGGTCGAACACCCGACCTCAAGGCTAGCGAGCCAGCGTCTTAACCACCTAGCCACCGTGGCTCCTTCAGGCCATAAAACGTAGATAATTGGTAAATGCCATCTTAAACTACCAATTATGAGAAGGTACAGAGTGTCTGGAGCAGAAACAATAATAAAATATGTTATAGAAGACTTTTATAATATCCATATTAAATTTAATATGTTAACAACTTGCCCCATGTGGTTCTCAAATATGTTACTGTGTAAAGACTGTACATAACACATAGGCCCTATAGACCGCATACACGTGCTATTAGGTTATTTTACTCTAGAACACCTATAGACCCTATAGTAGACTGGATACACTTGCTATTAGGTTATTTTACTCTAGAACACCTATAGACCATGTAGACTGGATACACTTGCTATTAGGTTATTTTACTCTAGAACACCTATAGGCCCTATAGACTGGATACACTTGCTATTAGGTTATTTTACTCTAGAACACCTATAGGCCATGTAGACTGGATACACTTGCTATTAGGTTATTTTACTCTAGAACACCTATAGACTGGATACACGTGCTATTAGGTTATTTTACTCTAGACTCATATAATGCTTGTGAGACTGACATCAAAGTCGTCATTCGCCTCTGTATGCAAATAGGTGATGCATGTAAAAGATTCTATAGCAATTAGAATTTAAAACAGGAGTAACGCTGCCCGGCTGAAATACTTTCCTTTGCATTCACATGTAGCCATAGATGTTAGTCTCAAAATGGTATCTTGTGTTAAATTGTGCTTTTTTTATTACCTTCCCTAGACTCAGTATTTTACTTTTATTGTTGTTGTTTCAACACGTTTTTTTTTCAGTGTATCTTATTTTATAATGGCGTATCCCCTTTCCTCTTACAGTATAGAACACCCACTCAGTCCCAGGGGTCGAAGACTATATCTATATTTTTGAGAGCAACGAAAACGACGAAATCCATTTAAAACCTATGTTTTCATAATTATTGTTCTTCAGGCGAAAGTTAAAATCATTTTCCGCAAGTAATAAATGGTCTTTTCAGTTTGGATCGGAACTTTAATGTGTTTATTTGAATGTACAAATGTACACGGGAACTAATGAGCACCCAACTCTTGTATAACATATGACGACCGGGCTTGTAAAATCAGAAACATTGATGCTCATCCTGAAACATGCTGTTGAAACGCGGAATATATATATATATTTTTTGCACCAAGTCATGCTTACTGCTTCAGGCTTATAGATAAAGAATCGGTTGGATGGTTTGAATATTTTGTATATTGATTTTCTATTGTTTCTATTATCCTGAAACATTGTGTTGAAACGCAGAGTAAATCTATTACAAGTCGTGCTTTATAGCTTACTATTTTAGGTATTTATGTAATCAATGGCGTAGGTAATGAAAGAACATGCCAAATTGATCACACTGGTTATATCATTTAATTGGTCGTTAGTGTCTGAGTAAATATATATTATGTAATGATTATACTAATTAACCTAACAAGTCATGCATACTGGTGGGGTGGGTTAACGTGTGCGCTTCAGTCATGGTGTCTGTCGTTGAGTCAAGTAGAGTGGTTTCAATTTTCCACTTGTACGTGACAAGTAGTAGGGTCGCCTGTCCAACCTTGTGGGTTTTCTCTGGGTCCTCCGGTTTCCTCCAACTCCTAAAGACCCCTACGCGTAAAATGTTCAACATTATACAATGTACATTTATACAATACACATTCATTTATTGAAACAAATATGTAAGCTGAAATTATTAGCGCAGAAGAGTTGTGTGGATATCTTTATACCTTTGAGAAATAAGCTTTTATAACTACAATGTTTAAACAATTATTTATAACAATGAATATAGTAATAACATATTATCAGGTATAATATACAATGCAAATCGTTCTACGCACGAATGCGCTACCCGAAAAATTTAGTGAAAACAGATTTGTTGATCTTTTTTAACCATTAGTAGTGATCCCAAATTCAACACATGTGCCAATTCGAATGTAACGAGAATAACTATTAAACTGTAAATTAAATAATAATACACATCGTGCCGTATTCTACTTGAGACAACCGTTGTAAAATGGTTCCTGGAGTTTTACTTCCACTGGGAATGGGTACAAATAGTTTGACGAATCAAACCTTGCCCCAGAGCATTTAAATGGGTACAAATAGTTTGACGAATCAAACCTTGCCATTGAGCATTTAAATGTATATTTACATATGAAGGTATTTATGTATCGATCTGTCTAGCCCATCTTCGGCGTCTTTTGCAAACTACGAGAACAAATAGTTCCCCAATTCGAGAATATTAATAAATAATTAATCATTTATTCAGGATGTAGTGATGATTTAACGGATACTAATGACTTTTTTAAAACAAACTTACCAGAAATTTATATATTTAAAGATACATTATGGGAGATTCGGTAACGAGTTGGCAGTTCTCACTATAATAGTTAAAAACTATATAAGGTAGAAGGCAATTTGGTGAAAATTTCATTCAAATTGATCCACTATGAACCGAGAACTAAGCGACTGAAATTCCCATAAGCCTCGGTCATCATTACTAAAGTCAGTACGATAAACAGCATAGTCTCGATTATCCATTTAATCGTTTAATGAGAAGGAAAGTTATGCAGTAAATCGGCTTACAATCCACTAAAGATCGCAGGCTAGCGCAGCCATCTAGAGTTGATTATGGCCTGGATAGGTTAATTAATGTCTAATTAATAATTTAGATAACATTTCAGGCCTAAAGAAAGACCTGAAATAGGCACATTTAGCTCTTGCATAATGCATGTTTAATGAATTCACGCTCTACTGACCTCGATTCCAGTTACTGACGCAGATCAAAGATAACTGGCGGTTTCACCATTTACACGGGCAGCAATTGGAATCCAACTTGGGTATTTTATATGCACATTACATCCTAACAACTAAATGACGTTCCTTGCAAGACATCCGCCCTGCACAGACAAGGGACCTCCAGATCTGCGGATTACTCACTGAGCCATAGCGCCCTCTCCCCATATAGGCTAAAGAGGGCGCGCTCTTAGAAATGTCAACTTTCTCTTTTCTGGACGACAGTCATTTTTTTTTCATTATGAGCGACATTAGGACTGTTTGGAGAATAGTGGAATCTCAGTTGTCATGGCTACCGGTGTTACGACAGTAAACAAAGTCTGGTTTATCCATTTTGTAATTAAAACTTTAACCGCCACGGGACGAAAACATTTTATATTTAATTTTTTTTTTAGCATATTTCAAACAGTAATTGTTTATATATAAGCTTCAGATGTG